GAGAGAGAGAGAGAGAGAGAGAGAGAGAGAGATTATATTCTCTACTATTCAGGCAATATTTGTGTTTGAAATTCAAACAAATAATTATATCATTTGTCGCTGAAATATATTCTCGCAAATAAAACTCTATACAAATAGTTACTATATTTTCCATTTAATAAATGATTTCAAATGAAAAACAATTTTTCGTGTTATATATGAAAGAAAATGACTGCAAAAAATGATTTTTAATTCCTCTTTATTTTTTTCTCATCGCTCTCTACATAAAAGAGAGAGAAAAACATAACATAAATGCAAAAACAAATTATTGTTATTCAAAAGCAAAACACAATTTCAATAAAAAAATAAAGAGAAATTGCAAATCATTTCACATGAATTAGTTGTTAACTCTTATGTCTCGCTAATTACTGGCCGTCGCAACACTGCAACACCGGGGCGTCTGTTTCCTATACACACTAATACACTATTTGTTATATAATGTTATTATATTTAATACATTATTCGCTACAATAATTGTTTTTTATGACCATTTTTTCTCTCTATGTTTTCGCTTTCTATATATTCTATATATTCTTAATAATAACATGTAATGCATTGCTGTTGTGATAGAAAATTGAGGGGAAGTTTATTGTCATTAGTGGCATATTATGGCTGAGAGTGAAGTGAAAGTCATGGCAAATGCTGTCAGGCAGGAGAGCAGAGGCAGCTGCACACATACTATACCACATTACATAATAGTTACCATCATTGTATGCATTGTGTGATAGTATCGGCGTTTGCCAATTCATTTTGTATCCACAATTGACCGAAACACTCGACCCACAAATCCATTCATTCATTATTAGACCAAAACATGCAATAATTCACTCAATATATCACAACAAATGTATAAATAATTCAAATAAATTCCAATGAATTCAACTATTTTTACGTAACTTTATTCACAAATATATGGAAAAATACATTTATAACAAAGATTTTAAAACAGTTATAGAAAATACAAAAAACCATAATTTGGAGAAATTTTATAAAATATTATAGTTTTTTACTTAATTACTTCAACTGTTGAGGATTTTTATGTAAATTACATATAAATTAATAATTTTATTTAAAAATCTCAAATATTTTTAATACAAAGAGAAAACATTAGATAATAGAGTACTTGAAACAGTAATACAATTCAATTTCATACCATTAACTATAGTATTGTTATTAAATATATCATAAATATAAAGATAAGTTCAAAAGAAATTCAACGCTTAAGTGATAAGAATGCGATTATTGGAGAAGAAATGATGAATAATAAGCGATTGAAATAATAAAAGAGAAAAATAAAAAACAGATAAATATAATCTTAAGATTGAATAAAGGGCTCAAAAAACTAGAATAATTATAACATTAAATACTAAAATCAAAACATTATTATTATTACACATAATAATAATATTCATTAAAAATAAGACATAATATATTAAATATTATATGAATTGATTAGTTCTCCAGTGCCTCACATGAGTGCCTCTGAAAAATCATATTTCGATGAATACTTGAAAAAACAATTATAAGTTGTTTTACGCTTAAGAATATAACTTGTGATGAATTGTGTTTTAAGGGATGTTCACAGAACATACAATTGGATATATCATAGATATATGTTATCATTATTCATCAAAATGGCCGCCATATGGAGACAACACAACCACCAGAAGCACCGGTTATGAGTACTAATGGCTTACAGGTTATGTCTCTCAACACAATTGCCGGACAGATTGATAAAGCTTTCAAATTACGACAAATACAACAAACTCTTCATATTTAAAACTCAAACATAGAGTTCGGCTGTCGTTAAGTGAGAAATGTGTGAAAGGAGGAGAGGATTAGCGCCAGTAATTGTCTTACAGTCAATTCTGTTACCACTAATTATTGTCAACACTTTAAACAATGAGAGATGAATGATAGGTGACAGACAATGGGACGGGAATAATACCTTCCGCGTCATAGTATAGCCATTCCTCGAGAGCGCGATTACAATAACAATAAAATATATATAAACTGTTCATTAAATGCTCTCAAAGAGTGGTTTCGAATTCGACAACAAACTACTGAATGGAGTCGAATTCGGGGCCAAAGTCTTGTGGTGTTTGTTATGTCATAACATCTCGTGTTTAAAGACAATAGGGATGACAGAACTGATAGACGAGACGCTGAGACCTTTCCGTCTTTTTCATGATTCCCTTCTTATAGTACTGACGTATAGAACGGCTGAGTTTGTCGTAATTCATTGCTGGCCTGTTCTTACGCTTTCCCCAAAGTCGGGCCACACGGACGGAGTCCTCGATCTTGAAGACACCCTTCTGGCGGTCCATCCATCGGATGTAACTGCCATACAGTTGCGGCTGAGACAGCAGTTCCTTCAAGAATTGCCACAAATGAATGTGAGAACCGGAACCGCTTCGGCCTGTCGTCGGTGGCGGTGACTGTTCGACGAGTGTAGTAGTGGTGGGCAAGTGGTCGCACCCGTCGTCGCTAATGTCGTCTGTAAATTAGACGTGGATTTTGTTATCAAACTATTCGACAATTTATAGCAAATCTAATCTTATAGTGTATTAAATGCATGATTACTGTGGAAACGCTTTTGTCAATATTTAATGGCATTAATGGATGCTATGATTGCAAAGCAACGCAAAGCAAACTATAAAAATTTCAAATAAAATTCTCTCTAAAAAAGCAGTTGTTTTATCACATGTTATCATTAACTAAAGCTTTCATATCAATTGCATTTTGAGAGTTTGTGTCAATAATAGTGTGATTACAGTAAACCTCTTTTTACAGTGAATTAGATAAGAGTTTACTTGAAAGCAATGAATACTTTATTTGCCTCAAAATAATTGCACTTTATTGTTGAAAACAATAATTTAGTTTCTTTAGCGCTCAGACAGTAAAGAATCGGAGGCTTGAAAAAGGGGTCAAAACAGACAGAATGGGAAAGAAGACCGATTGGATTGGTTTGGGCAGAGAGAGAGCGAGAGAGAGAGAGAGAGAGAGAGAGAGAGAGA